AAAAAAAACACTCTGAGATCAAATGAGATAAAATTTGGAGTGTTGATTTTTTACTTATTTTTTTTCTTTCTTGTTGTCGGGCTAATGTATTTCAATCAGAAATTATTGTGCAGGGGCAAAGAGAAAGAAACTACTGAAGATTAACCAGATTTTTAAGAGAAAAAAAAAATGAAAATAAGAGATATTACAGAGGGGGAAAATAATGATGGGATTAATTTGGTTTTCTGTGGGTGATATGAAAAATGAATAATGGTTTTCAGTTTTTAACTTCCTCTGATTGTCCAAATTTAGATTTAAAATAATGGCAACTTAATGGCAATTAAATAATTTTTTAATACTGACTCTTTAATTATTAATTATAATTATTTGAATGCAAAAAAATTATGCATTTTGGTTAATAGAAATGGTTGGAGTCCGGTGGGAATAATAATATTTAAAAAAAGTAATTGTAGTTGAGAAAAAAGTGGAATTAGGTTGCCAAGGCATGAAGACAACCACCACTCCCTTTATTTAATAAAAATAAAAAAAGGTATAATTATTAGATAAAATTGATATTTATGGTGCACTATTGAATTATTTGTTTTTGGAGTTTATTTTATTAATTAATAAATAGACATGGAAGATTTGTACTAATTTAAGATAGCCTTTTTCTCTTTCTCTTTCTTTTTATTGAAAAATGTCTTTTAAATATTCACTAGTACAATACTCGTGTACTACATCAGTATTGAGTTAAAAAATATATGATAAAATTTATTGTTAAAATAAATTTTTTATTTAAAAATTTTGATTGACTAATTGATGAAAAAAAAAATAGGAATACAAAATGCAAAAGGTGATTTGTAAATCAGAATTTATGAGACAAAAATTATAATATGGTAAAATTATTTCTTGCCCAAACTAATAATAAATGTGTACCAAGAGCAAAAATAGTAAAATTAAATATATACCAAGTCAGAAAAAGTTATTTATGTCTAATATCAAGCCTAATTCCAGAGCAAAAATGAATATATAAACAAAATTTCGAATCATAGATTTTTGTCATATCAGTATCCGAAATATGCGAAGATGCCACTTAGACTCGACACATTTTGAGTTAATATATAGACTGGGATAAGATAAGAAAAATAAATGCCCGAAACATTTTTTTTTTTATCTAATGAAGTTTTATATCAAGTTGTGTGAGCAAACAATATTATTATTTATTTTTTAAATTAAATATTATGTAACATGGATAAATGTATTATAATTATTATTTTATTCACATATATTTATTAAATAAACGTATAAATTATATTATATTAATAAATGTCCTTATCCCAAACGTCAAGTTGTCATCCCTGGTGTACGGATATGTTATAATAGTGGACACATAAAATAGTCACATTATAGTTTATCGAGATTGAAAATAATTTCCTTCAATAATTGGCGTACTACATTGAATTTTGAAAGGTCTCAAAACATTTATATAAAAAATATTTCATACATGTTTCTACATAATATATCTCTTAATTTACAATCGGATCATATTATTAAAAAATATTGTGTAATTTAAAAATTTGACAATATTTTGTATCAGCTCATAACTTAAATTCATAAAATCAAATTTTATTAGATAATAGGTTAATGATATATAGTAATTTTTGTCATATAATTTATAAATTAGATATTACAATTTTTTGCACAAGTCTCTACAGCAGTTCAAAACATTTTCGTATAGACAGATCCTATTATTTAGTGTCACCATATTGAAAAAAAATAAAACAATTCTAAAAAATAAAATGACGATATGAAGGCCAAACGATTATATATAGATTTATTTATAAAAATACATATATGGGAAATTTGAATCATTAACATTTAAAAAAAAAAAATACATATAATCTACCCGAATCATAGTTTTTAGACCCAGCTCGGTAATCGACACGGGTAGGTCACTGGGTCACCGGGTCAATTACTGAAACAGATAATTAATTTTAAAATTTTTAAAATTATATATAGAGTATTTTTGTCATATAAATAACATAGAAGTAACAAAATTAAATATTTCTTTTTATAAAATTTGTACATTAAAGTGTTAATAATATGTATCTCATGATAAATATCTACCATATATACATTTAACACATTTTTATTTAAAAACAAAATTGAAAAAATAAAATAAAAAATATATATGGCCCCGGTCAACCGGGTTGGACCGGTCGGGTCAATGCGCCGAGTCAAGGCTGGGTTGGTCGGATTTTGACCAGGTTCGACCGGGTTCTTTGTTGCTCGGTCCAAATAGCCCACCAGACCGGTTTTGACTCCGGGTCGACCTGGGACCCAGGTCGACCCGTCAGGCCGATCCGAGCTATAAAACTATGACCCGAATAAAAAAAAAAATGCAAAATTCTGAACCATTTTATCATGCTAGCGAATTGATCAGGAATTTACACAAATGGATAATTAACACATATGTAGAAAATTTTGAACTGTTATTAAAACTATTAGATACTGATTATTAAAGAATTTATAAAATTTTAAGAGTGACTAATGTGGAATATTATTATATTTCCTACTGAAAAGATTTATGTTGATATTTGATAAAGATTTTAGTAGTTCATATATAGTCACGGTTGTTTTTATTTGGCATGAAATAAACAATTATAGTAAATTCATTATTACATAACATTAAGATATAATTTGAGCGGATATTTACGAATGATTTTAGTAGTTATTTTATTATATGGTCATGGTTTTTTTATTTACTAGTCATGGCCCGTCCAATGCACGAGATGATATATTTTTCTAATATTTTTTTAATATTGAATATTAAATTTAATAGACTTGGTGCATATGTAAATGCAAACAGATCGGACAAATTATAAAATTTATAAATTATTGAATACTTCCTTGTAAAGGACATTTTCATTTGATTTGATGGCGAGTCATCGTCACTGCAAACTAATAATTTTAGCATCTGGATTCGATAATAATAGATAAAAAATGAAAAAAAAAATACTGTTTCATCATTGAAATTTATTTTCAACTACTTGGCTTCGAATTTTCTTTTAAATATACGAAAAACCCTCAATGTCAAGTATAGATTTTTAAAAAAAAAAAAAAAACCGAATAAAAGAAATACTACACGAGTGACATATTGACACAGTGGAAAAAATAAAATTTGGGATTCTATAGATTAGGGATTGAAAAATATGCTAGTAGTGAATAATTTGTGTAATTGATTACTTATATAGGCGTCATAAATTATTTGTGTTAGATGTGATATAAAGTTCTAATTGAAAAATCATTCAAGAATTGTGATGTTTCTATTCGGTCCAATTTATTTTTTGATAAAATAATAATGAATCTTTTAAATGAGAACTTATTTGTAATCTCTTGATTTTTCAAAAGATATCAATCCCAGTTCACATTAGGATTAAGCTGGCTCATCAAGATTGGTTGGACTACTCTCAGGCCTAGCTGCGGCTTCTAGTGTTGTTTTGATCTTGTTTTGTTGTTGGCTAGTAGTTAGGTTCTCAAATCTTTAGTTTGTGTTTTTCTCTCTGTTTCATTTAGTTCTGGTTTCGGTTTAGTTGATCCTTTTCATCTCTGGGCCTTATGGCAGTGGAGTTTGGGTGTTTGAGATATATAGTTTGGTTTGATCAGTTCTAGGCCGCTTTGGTGTGTCCTCTCATTTTTATATTCGGGTTTGGCTCGTTGTACTGAAACTTTGTTTGTTCGTTGTGAGTTTATAAAATCACTATCGTTCTGTTAAAAAAAAAAAAAAAAGAACTTATTTGTGATAAGTAAATAATGAATCTTTTAAATGAGATATATTTTACTATCTACTTAAATTTTTACTATATAAAATGAGAAATATTCGAATCCTTTAAGAATTGTTTTAACCAGATTTTATTAAAATTGTGTATGAAAATTGCGAAAGAGTTTTTTCTAGATATAATTGAATCCGATATTACGATAAGAATATAAAATAATATTTAAGAATTATATGTTTTCTTGTTATAAGTGAATATTCCTTAAAAATTTGGTAATATTGTATTAGCTTCTTTATTATCCGGTGGCATGTGAAATGAATTCCTTTGACATGTGGTTTATTTATTTAGATGTGTTTCTATGAAACAATATAGGTAAAATTAAATTTGATTAATGTAGATTTATATTTATCATTCGTTCATATGATTATTTGATTAAATAAGTTCGTTATTTATTAGTATGTAAATTTGAATGGTGAATTTATAATTGGTCAAATAATATGTAAATCAAAATTTTGGATTATATTTGTGTTGATTTGTATCATTTTATGCATGCCAATTACAAAGGACAATTTCTATAAAATAATATTTCTATGTCTGTTTGATTATAATAACCCTATTTATTTGTGAAATAAGAAATAATACATTAAGTTTTATTTAATTGATTATAAATAATATTTTAATTATAAATTAGAAAGAGAAATAAAGTTTCATGGCCAAACATTTTTTGTATAGAATATCTCTCTACTAGTAAAAGATTAATAATACTTTTTATTTCCTATCCGTTTTTATATATCGTATTAAATTATCTTTCATATTATGATCTTCGATCTGAGGTTGATATATCACTAAAAAATAACTATTTTATGATAAATCAATGAGTGATCTATCAAATTGTAATAGTAAATTAAAATTTTATAAAGAAAAATTAAAGTATTTATAATTTATATTGTTATAATCTACAATGAGAAACCAACAAATCATCTATCAAACATGTAAATTGTTTAAATTTAACAAAAGTGGATTGGGGAATGACTTTGAGA